GTTTTTCTTTGGTCTAGACAACTTGTGATTTTTTACTCTTACATTGAAGGGTTTTCTACATTAAAAATATTTGTGTCTCTTATATGTTTGGGTTATCTTTTTTGCTCTATTTTGTTGGTGCTCCTCATAAATTCTTGCAAGCATGGGAATTTAATTTTTACTGCATTATTGCTCTTTCTCAATTAGTTGTTGTTATTGTGTTAGGCTTTCTCCCATCAGAGTGGCATTAGAGCTTTTTGGTTAAGGGTCTGTTTGACTTGCTTGAATGGTGGAGGCACATACAAAGATAATTTCTTTGAATGGAGCAAATTATCACCTATGGAAGGGTAAGATAAAGGATTTGCTATTTGTTAAGAACTTACATCTTCTTGTCTTTGCTTCTAATAAACCAAAATGCAAGTTTGATGAAGAATGAGATTTTGAGCATCAATAGGTGTGTGGATTTATCAGGCAATTTGTTGATGATAATGCCTATAATTTTATTGCTAATGAGACACATGTGAGTTATAAATTGTACTAGAATGATAGTGACTAATAAATTGTACTAGCTGAAGAATTTTATGGAGTTGAAGTACAAGGAGGGGACTCCCATTACAAATCACTTAAAGTAAATTTCAAGGACGTTTTGATCAACTATCTAGAATGGGTATAAAATTTAATGAAGATTTATTGGGATTATTTCTATTAAATTTTCTTTCCTAATTCATGGGAGACATTCTGGGTTTTCATGATTAGTGTTCTCCTAATGGTAATGTTTCTTTGCAAATGAAAAATAGTGGTGCGCTTAATGAGGAGATGATAATGAAGACACAAGGTAGTTAATCTCATTTAGAGGTGATTGTTATTGAGAACATAGGGAGAAACCAGAAGAGAGAACAGAAGGGTGGTAGAGACAAAAACAAGAACAAGTCTAAGTTTTAGTACAAAAATGTGGAGTGTCACTTTTATCACAAAATAATACATATACAAAGGAATTGTTTTATGTGGAAGAAGGAGAATAAGAGAATAAGTGAAAGCAAAAATAGATAAATCATAATGATAGTGATCATGTTACTACTGCTACTAGTGATGATCTTGTTCTTCTCCGTGATGTTGATGCAATTAATCTTGTATCCGATGAGGGGCATGTGGATAATAAATAGTGGTGTTACACTATATGTTACAACCAAGAAGGAGTTCTTCACAACTTACATTGTTGGCAATTTTGGAGTATTAAAGATGGGTAATGATGACATATTATAAACCAACATGGGATGTAGTTGTTGCTTAGAGGAGTTAAGCATGCTCCAAATGTCCATTTTAATTTGGTTTCTGTGTAGGTGCTTGATGATGGTGGTTATGATAATCACTTTGGTTTTGGAAAGTGGAAACTTACCAAAGGTAACTTGATCGTGGCTAAAAAGGGGAGAAATTCTAAACTTTATTGGACAAAAACATTGGTTGCTAAAGATAGTGTGAATTATATGTATATGGAGGCATCTTTGTGGCATCGAAGGCTTTGTCATATCAGTGAGAAAAAGGACTAAATGATTTAGTCAAAAAGGATATGCTTCAGGTATTGATGAATGCAAAGTTAGAGAAATGTTCTCATTGCATGGTTGGTAAGAAAACTATAGTATCCTTCAAGAAACATCCTTCTTCTAGCTTGAATTGGTGCATTCAGATGTTTGAGGTCCTTTGAAGGTAAAGAATTTTGGTGGTGCACTTTATTTTGTTACCTTTATTGATGATTGTTCTAGGAAACTATAGGTCTATGCTTTGAAGACAAAAGTCCAAGTGCTAGAGAAGTTTGAATAGTTTTATGCCTTGGTTGAGAGGTAGTCAAAAAAGAAGTTGAAGCACATTTGTAGTCTACTGTAGGCAACATGATATTTCACATGAGAAAAGTCCTTAGTTGAATGGTTTAGTAGAGAGGATGAACAAGACATTGATTGAGAGAGTGAGGTGTATGCTATTTGAGGCTAAGTTACCTAAGCGATTTTGGGGTGAAACATTGTAAACGGTGGTGCATGTTATCAATCTTAGTCTTGCTATTGCTTTGAATAGTGAGGTGCCAAATAAAATTTGGTTTGGCAAGAATGTCAAGTATGATCACTTGAGAGTTTTTAGTTGCAAGGAGTTTGTGCTTGTTCCAAAGGATGAGAGATCCAAATTGGATACAAAGACAAGACAATGTATCTTCATTTGTTATGGTGAGGATGAATTTGGTTGCAAATTCTATGATCCTATTGAGAAGAAGCTTATTAGAAGCCATGATGTGAAATTCATGGAAGATTAAACCATTTAAGACATTGATAAGGTGGAGAAGTTTACACCTAAGGGAGATAGTGGCATGACTGATGTTGATCCAGTTCAGTTGCTTATTCATAATCTGGATATTGATGTTCAAAATGGTGAGCAACATAACTATGTTGGTGAACAACGATTTGGAGATGAGGTAGATATTCCTATTAATGATTTTGATGAAAAAGAACATGAGAGGTCACATGATGAAAGTCTTGGTGATGCAACTGAGCCACCGCTAACCCAACTCAAGAGGTCGACTAGGTAGAGACAATTGTCTATGAGGTACTCTTCTGATGCGTATGTGATCTTTATAGATGGGGGAGAACATGAGTGCTTTTGAGAGGCCATGGAGAGTGAAGACAAGCAAAAGTGGTTGGATGCTATGAAGGATGAGATGTGAGGCCACGGGCCTCTGGAAGTATCATGTTTGAATTGATTCTTTCCACACCTAACGAAATCACAATAGAAAGTCCCCTAGAGCTCCCATGTCCAACGTGACTGAACTCATGCCTGACATCATCAACGCCATGAGAATTTTGGGCTTTCATGCCTAGCAAGCCCAATATGGTACCCGACATGGTATTAGTAAGGTCACATTTTACATACTTCACATTTTACTCACTACAAGTTTGGGTTCCATTACTATTATAAATCCATATAATTAAGGGGTATCTATAATCTAATTAGTTCATATTTTTTACAAGTAATTACTAGATACAATTGTTTCTCCAATAATTTGTTTTGTATTTTGTCTATAGGGCTTTCCCTTAAGGAACCCACAAACTCTAATAAATTCACAAATAGGGACAATTTCATAGATCAAAAGCATTAGTATATAGTAAACACTCAATTTTGTCCCCCTTTTATTTATTTATGTATTTTCTTTCTTTTTTTCTTTTTTCATTCCTTTTATTATTTTTCATTTTTCTATTAATCACGTTATACTACTTTTTCTTTTTTCAGGAATAAAAGTTAAGTTAAATACAAAATAAAAATAATAAATAAATTTGGTGTTTCAAAAATGCTAAATATTGAGTTTTAGTGTGTGTATATATATATATATATATATATATATATATATACATATATGTGAGAGAAAAAAAAACAA